TGTGTGTGTGTGTGTGTGTGTGTGTGTGTGTGTGTGTGTGTGTTTGTCCTTTGCGATTTTTGAGATATGAGACTGTGAAAAATGGGTTTGACCTAGTTTCATTGTATAAACAAAATGCTGTTGCTCAATGCCTTATGGTATCTCTTAATCGCCATCTCCCCTATCTCTCTCTCTCTCTCTCTCTCTCTCTCTCTCTCTCTCTCTCTATCTCTCTCTATCTCTCTGTGGTCTTTATAGCTTTTTACCTTTATACCTTATGCCTGTTTCTTAAAAGCATCTTAACTGAAGGTTCACGGAGTACCTTTTTTTGAAGCTTTGAACTGCATGTCACGGTCTTCCTCTGTGGATTTATTAAAGCTTAAAGGTTGACATTTTGGATTGTGGCTCATGAGACAATAAATCACACTCTCATTTCGGTCGGTCCAATATTTGCCATTTTATGAGGGATTATGTGCCGGACTATTTCTTGGCTCTGAGAAGTTGAGGCTCTGGGTCTCTACTCTCAGTTATTGGTTCTGACCAAGAAATTATCATTTTGTTTTTTTTGTATTGATTAAACAAACAAGAATGTGTTAATTAATGAGCTTTAGAAGTGCTGGTAGGCAGGTTTTTTTACCTTTGCTGTTTCCCCTTGTTTCCAGTCTTTGTATGCTAAATTAAATAAGAGAAGTATCGGTCATCTCATCTAACTATCTATGTCTATATATTAAGGCATTTGTGGTTGATGTGTTCGAATATATACAAATGTAGGCTTGTGTGTAAGCTGCTGAGGACCACAGATGTTTGACAGGCTATAGAACGAGTGAGGTAGACTAAACAGACAATGGATGGTAAGATTCCTTTATCGTAAAATCAAAGAAAAGATGGACAGACGGATTCAGACAGTGCAGACAGCTTTACACAAGATGGTGCATGTTAATTGTTTCTGAGCCGAAGTCGTGATTTGTCAGTCCTGTTTCAAACTTCTCCTAAATGTCTTCGTGTTTTTTACATCCTAAGCTGTGCAGACCGCCCTGTCCTGCCGCACTTCTTCTCCGCTGGGATTACTCTGTATATCGTGCCGCTCCTTTGCAGAAATGCACAGCCCGTTAGCTCTGACACGCACTCACACACAGAGACTTGCAGGCTAACACACATACGAAACACACTTTCTCTGCACCATGCGAGGCCTCACCACTGCCACCGTTGCCATGGTGACTACCCTGCATGTTTGAATTAGGCATTACATTACAGCAAAAGCATCTCTCTCTCTCCCTCTGACTCTCTCTTTCTCCCTGTCCTCCTCCATCTCCTCTGCTCCCTGCTACTGTACCAGAATGTGCAGACCGGTGAGGAAAAGAAGATGTTTGATACGGACTGTACCGAGGATGCCGTTCGTACTCTAGATCTGCAGCTGCTGACGACAGCGGGATAGTTGGGCTTTAGTGAGGCACTGGGGCACCCGTGGGATTTGACGATCTATCGCTCTACAGTAGTGCATTGAGTGCCAGCTGGTCGATCTCGGATAGAGTGAGCTGATCTACTTGTATTGTGGAGTAATGATAAGAAACTTGGGTTTGTCATAGCATGTAGAGACTGCCAGTGTATGTGGCTTTATGATTTGTGTCCGACTGCATGGCATTACGTCGTTACTGCAGACTTAACATGCTTAAATACATTACACCTTATTTTTCATTTGGTTGATTACGGTGTTTATTGTAACCTGATTTAAAGCTTTTTATTTAAAGCTGTAACTCTATCGTTTGCATTTGGAGCTGATATTTGTTAGATGTTTTTTTCCGCTTTGAGTGAGACGATAACAGCCCAGTTACATTGTGTGTGTGTGTGTGTGTGTGTGTGTGTGTGTGTGTGTGTGTGTAGTAGGATAGGGAGGCTCCGATGCACTTTGGGGTACAAAGCCTGCACCGCATCATTTTCCTTAGCTGTTGAATTTACTGTCATCTCTTCGTCTGTAAGCCCACATGTCATCATGTCCTTCCTCAGGGAGTTTTCTCTGTGTATCTGCATGTGGTCCCGCATATGCATGTGTGTGTAAGCCGGTGTGTCGGCGCCTTTCTTTCTGATACACTCCTGCTAAATTCCAGACAGGCAGCATATTAAAAGTAAGATGGACAACTTTCTCCCTCTCCTTGCCACACTAATTTTACTCATTCTGCCTATTGTGGCAGACAAATTGCGTTATGTGTGTAATGGGAGGGTTCAGAAAGCTAGGGATGTTACAGACTGGACTGAGCTGTACATTTACTGCCTCTGGGCTCCTCAACGGAGACGAAATCTTGCAGCACAAAGACTAGAAAACTGAAAGTCTTGGAGACAGACTGAAACATTTACAAGCTCTTGGACCAACAAAGGGCAAAACATGAAGAAGTCGGGCTCCAACCGTAGCCTGAACAAGGTCCTGGCTAAGTGCGGGCCGTCCAGTTCGTCTGAATTTCACCAGATCAAAGCAGTGAAGACAGGATGGGCTGGCCGTCTGGGGGATGCCAGGAGGGCACTGAGCCGCAAATCCAAAGGACCTTCATCCCCCTCAACGTCATCTTCAACACCATGCCTTTTTTCCACAGCTCCCCCACCACCCAAGAGAGCTCCCAGCACCACCCTGACACTGCGCTCGAAGTCAATGACCGCTGAGCTGGAAGAACTGGGTGAGTGCCAGATAGCTGGCATGCAAAACTTGGTGTGTCTCCTAACTTTTAGAGTAGTCAATTCTTCTGTTGGCTTGTTCTCGTGATTTCCCCTCCTTTGCTGACGCTATCTTTTTCCCACCAAGCTTCTGCTCGGAGGAGAAGAGGAGGTGAGTCTTAGGCAAAACTTTGACACCTCTCTGAACATCATAAAGATAATTTATCACTGCTGCATTAATCTTAGCAGTGTTGATTTAGAGCCGAAGAGCAGAACACTTGAAATATGCGGACTCTCTTTCTCCACCTTTTCTCTCTCTGTCCCTTTCAATTCGTAGTGCTCACTCCCTAGTGGTCATCAAAGAAACACTGTATTGAGATTTTGTACAATACCATGCATGCCCTCATATTTTAGTGTATAACTACATTTTGGAGATTCCCTTTTTAATCACAATTTTTAATCCCTACTGTGTTAGCAATGTCAGAAATGATGACACAATGTTTCCCAGGTCTAACGCCTCAGTATTTAGTTCTGGCTCATTTCCTTCTCAACAGACAGACTAGATGAGATGTTGGCATCCCAGGAGTCTATCTTGCGTTCTCAGCCCTCGGAGGCAGATTACAGAGCAGCTACTGTCAAACAAAGGCCTACCAGCAGGAGAATAACACCAGCAGAGATCAGTGTGAGTGCACCTACACACAGCACACTGGCAGACATGTTGGCAAACATACAAACTCAATATGATGTATAACACACTGCGTAACACTATGTAACACTGCACGCATGTACACAAGTATGCTTTGTGCTACTTTGTTGTTGGTATTCTGTATACAGTGTCGGAGTTTTAATGAAGCTTTAAAGTCTTATTTGTACACTGCACAAATATAGTTCCTCATGGAAAGATTAAGTAATGATATTTGTTTTTTAATTAAATGCATTAAAACTGTGTTTCACTACACAGTAAATTCCCTGTTTTGTTGTGCTGCAGTCACTGTTTGAGAGACAAGGAATGACTCTACATGGAGGTCTTCACCCAGGCATTGAGAGAGGTCATATACCACTACCAAAGGGGATGTCCAGGACCAAGTCTTTTGGTAAAACAATCACCCATCCTGTACATATTCAAATAAGGTGAATGATAGTGTATCTTATGTGCAGTACGCTTATAGGTAATATATTGACATGTAGAGAATATAAGAAGCTTCATTCTTTTTTTGTAAAGTTGCATCATTACACCCACAAAGAATAGCATGTAGACAGCAATACAACAAATAGAAAAATACTGAAGATGAAGCTGCATCTTCATCAATTCAATTCTAAGTTGTGGTTGACAAGAAATAATGTGAAAAAGTGCTTAATGGATATTCACGAAAACACAAGTACAGAGCCATTTCAACTGTATATATACACATACATTATTAATACTATATTAATTATTTTCCTTGTTCTCAAGAACACGCATTAAACAAATGTTCAATTCATTTGTAATATAAGTAAAAAACAGTTACAAGTTGTATTAAAGTGTGTGAGTTAACAGATTTACAGATGGAGGCATTGCAGTTTATTTTTTAGGAAGCAGCTGTGGACCTGCTAGGCTGGTATAAAATGGTCCAATTTCATGAGCCTACTCCCTGTCACCAGAAGGTCTGTGCTCTTCCCTCCCTCATCAGGTGCCACTGAGGAGGATCGTCTGTCTGCCCTTGCAGGCGAGCACAGATTTCCCCGCAGCTCCTCTATGACAGACAGCCTCCGAGAGCACTCACAGCCCCATCCCATCCCTCCACCGCCACAAACAGCACCTCCTCCTCCTCCCTACTACCTAGACACTGGTCCTCCCCCAGCCTTCTGTCCCCCTCCTCCCCCATCTAGGACCCAGAGTCAGGGCCATGAGCCTGGGGGACGCTCCAGCTTCAAGCCCTCCTCCTTGGATCTACCTTACGAGGCCGCTCACCGGCAGGCCACACACATAGAGAGACAGAAGAAAGCCCGCTCCATGATCATCCTGCAGGACTCTTCACATCTACCTGTAGAACCTACAGAAATTCCCCGTCCTTCTGGTGCTACTCCACCTGAGCGAATCAAAAGGAAGGGTCGGGTTATTGACAACCCTTATGCTAATGTAGGACAATTTAGCATTGGACTGTACACACCCACCAAGCCCCAGAGGAAGAAAAGTCCCCTGGTTAAACAACTACAGGTAGGTTACACATCGGGGGTGGTCTTCTGTTTAGTTTTGCTTTGCTTTAGTATCAAAGACCCCCTAACTTTAAAATATTTGGCTGATTTTTTTTTTTGTCTTTATGCAGGTGGAAGATGCACAAGAAAAAGCTAGTTTGGCCTTAGCTACTGCCCACTCCAGAGAGAGCTCACCCTCAGGACGACACTCATATACCCATGGACACACACACACCAGCCGTGCAGACTACTACCAGCAGCAGCTGATGGCTGAGCGAGAGCGTATCCGTGCCCAGGGAGAGATGATGTTTCAGGGTAAGGGCCCCTTTGCTGCTGCAATAGCTGGAGCAGTGAAAGACCGTGAGCGTCGCCTAGAAGAACGGAGGAAATCCACTGTCTTCCTTTCTGTTGGGACCATGGAAGGGGCGTCTACCACCAGCTCTGACCCCCCCTCTCTGACTCAGTCTCACTCCATCGATGAACGGATGCTCACCAGAGAGCTGGGACAGCTGCCTCCCCCTGCCTTGGCCCTGAGCCCCTCACCTAGTGGGACCACCTTTATCCATCCGCTCACAGGAAAGCCCCTGGACCCTAACTCTCCACTGGCTCTTGCGCTGGCCGCAAGGGAGAGAGCACTGACCTCCCAGAGCCAGTCCCCAACTGGAAGCCCAGAGCCTAGGACTAAACAGGAGCGGGCAGTATTCATTGACCCTCAGACCAAAGAGTCTCCACATGGTGAAGGGGCACCCACAACTCCCCCTTTTTCACCTAAAAGCGCCAAGGCAGCGGGGTATGGAGTTGGATCCTCCCCAGCATCTATTTTAGTTTCCCAGCCCACAAAACCACAGTGGACCACATCACCATCACCTTTATCATTCAGGAAGGAGATGGAGGCCAGAGTGGAGGAGAGGAAGGAGGAGAAGAGACTAGAGGATAAAAAAAGTATGTTGATTAGTATTATGGATACCTCGCAGCAGAAAACAGCAGGGCTTATCATGGTCCATGCTACCAGTAATGGCCAGGCTGTCGGGGTGGGTTCAGAACTAGAGCAGACACCTGCCCCAACATCCACTGAGCCCAGTAAATCTCTAAGTCCACGGGCTAAATCTCCCAGTCCTACGGTCTCCCAGCCCCAGGCCCAACTCCAGCTCCAGGCCCAGCCTCAAACTCAGCGTCCTGCCAGTCCAGCCCAAGAGAAAAGCCTGGCTCAGGGAAGCTCTGAGGAGGATGTGGATCCATACACAGTGACCTTGCCCCCTGCAATATTGTCCTCCAGTGATGAGGAAACTAGAGAGGAGCTACGTCAGATTGGAGTTGTTCCACCGCCAGATGAGTTTGCTAATGGGCTGCTGGCACTGGCACAGGCACAGGCACAGGGGACACCAGTGTCTCCAACTAAACCTGCCTCCTCTCCCACCGCCCCTACAACACCAACACCCAAAACTCCCTTTACCCCAACAACCCCAACTGTGACACCCACCCAGCCTCAGCCTCCCCAACCGGCACCTCTACCCAGTGCAGCAGTTGTCTCAGGGAAGCCCTCTGACCCTCTGGAGCCCCCGCCGGTGGGCGAGTCTGGCTCTGCAGCTGACTCAGGCGTGGAGGAGGCTGACACACGTAGCTCCAGCGACAGAGAGCGAGACCACCATCTCGAGACCACCAGCACCATTTCCACGGTCTCCAGCATGTCCACATTGTCCTCAGAAAGCGGCGAGCCTGCCGACACACACACCACGCACACCTCCTATGCCGACGGGCAGACTTTTGTGCTCGACAAGCCGCCAGTGCCTCCTAAGCCCCGACTCAAGTCCCAAATAGGAGGCAGTAAAGGCCCTGTCACCTTCAGGGACCCTCTGCTGAAGCAGAGCTCTGACAGCGAGCTGCTATCACAACATCAGGCTGCTGCTCTGGCTGCTGCTGCAGCTGGAGGAGCTGGGCTGCCTGCAGGTGGTTCAGCCTCAGTGACTGGACTAGCCCCCACCAAGCCGCGCTACCTCTTCCAGCGGAGGTCCAAGCTGTGGGGGGACCCAGTGGAGCCTCGTGGACCAGGGGTGGGGCTAGGTATTGGGAGTTTGGGCAATCTTGGTGGACTGGGACTGGGGCTGGGTTTAGACGAGGGAGCAAAACCATCTGTTATGGGGGAGCTCAGTTCACGACTACAGCAGCTAAATAAAGACACTAGGTCACTGGGAGAGGAACCACTGGGAGCATCATTTGACCCGGGGAGGAAGTCACCTGTGGCAGGTGCCAGGTAAGAGAGAAGCTAGTAAAATTTACTCTGAAACTGTTTTAAACACTGAGCGCCAGAACAAATGGTTTTATTAAAAGTATTTTACTCAGATGATGGCAGAGACAGAGAGAGTTAGCAATCTAAAGAAAGTCCACTGGCCAGCGCAAATTACATTATTAAATGAATTATAATTGCACACTTGTCAGACATTTCTTTTCTCTTGTTTGCCAAAATTTCATTTATTATTTAAAAGAAAACATATTTCTAGTCTTCGAGTTTATTTTAGTCTTAAATCTGACAACATTTCTCTGGAAAGAGGGAAAGCTTGAGGCTAAGTTAAAGAGGGCAGCCTCAATTTATTTCTGTGCATGATTCGATTTTACTCACATTTTAAAACATGCAAATGAATCCATATTTTAGCCAGTCCACTGTGATGGTAAGCGGTAGTGAGATCAGAGGTCCCCAGCATTGCTGGCATTAGCTTCCCTGACAATGTTTGTGTAACAACATTGTTAATATGTGCTGTACCTTTCTAGGGGTCGTACAGTAAGTTGCAACATCAGTAAGTAAAAAGCAAATTTGAAGCATAGAAAAGAGGCAAACACAAACTTGGTTCTCACACAGCGACTGCTACAGGGTCATCTGAAGCATCTGAAGCACAATGCTGTTTTGTCTGTTATCTGTGGGTTTCTTGTTTTCACACCATACCTGAAGGTACAATGAAGTCCTTTATATTCCTGCAGATGTGAGGACACCGAAGAGAGTAAACCTTAAGGTTATAGCCCCTAGGGTAAACTTAAGCTTTTTTTAAATATAATTTTCCTAACAAGCCTTTCAACTAATCCCATTGAAAGATAACAACCCTTATATACATTTTCTTTCATGTGTTTTATTTTAACTGTTATATGTTACCTTGTTTGCATCACCTGATTTATTCACTTAGAGTCTGTCGTAACAAAATTTATTTTAAAAAGAATATAAAATATTTGGCTGAAGTGTTTAAATACACACAATTGGTTTTAGAGATATACAGTAGTACTACAATTCATGCCTCTGGGTCTAAAGTGCTCCTTGTTTCTATAGTTACAACTCTACTCCTTGACATACTGTTAAGTGGTCTGGGTAGTTAAGTGCATACTATAGACAGTAGTAGTCAATAAGGAGACGGTAGTGTGTGTGTGTGTGTGTGCGCGCACAGTAACAGTAGTAGTAGCAGAACTGGTATCTGAATAGAATAGTATCTGTTGGTGCAAACAAGGTAACAGGGCTCGGAGGCATGCACTTCCTGAAAGCCTCTCCTCATCTCACACGCACTCTGTTGGGTTCTAACCTTTGACCCTGTTAGTAGCTACCTTTCCAACTTTCCAGAGTCCTTGTTCAAATAATACGTAATACATCCTTATATCCACATTTCTTTGCAGCCATCACTGATATAACTCTGATAAGACCGCAAACGTTCCTTCTTATCATCGCCCCCCATCCTACCGTAATATCAGTGATAACCTCAAAGATTTAAGGATGCATTTTCAGAAGTATTTGAACATGACTGAACTATAATGGTGTGTCACATTAATATCATCCCCTCATGATCTTGGCATTAACAGCCATGTTAATGATGCGACTAACAGACAAGTTCTGAGGTGCCACTGTCACATAAATGTCTTCTCTTTTGATCTACTCAGGATTTGGCCCAGTTGTGTTTCTAATGATTCGGCAGGTTGCACGAACAAGTGCTGTCAATTTTTGGCTGTCAATTGCAATATTACTTGACCATAAAATTGACACTAATTGATGTTAATTCTAATGTGCTGGTCAGAAGAGTGATTCGTTCACAGTAATGTATCAATCGAGATCTCAGAATGTAGCTTTCAAAGAGCTCCGGAGTTTGAAGGCACTCTTCAGATGACGTCTTTTTAAAGCCTTGCTCCTCAACTTTCTTCTTCTCTTGTCCTCATTTCTGTTCATATGAATAAGGAGGGTGGAACATTTTGCTTTCATGTTCACTATACGTCACTGCTGGTTATGAGGCGCTAAAAGATATGAGGAGACATTCCAAGGTTTACAAGATGTAAACATTGACTCTTTTGCAGTCCTCTCGTCGTGTTAACATCGGCAGGAGGAGCTGACCAACTCCACAAAGCTGAAACTACAGCGCTTCACATTTTTGTGTTTCCATTCAGCTGTCAACTAAATTAGTTACATAGCCATCAACGAAAGGAAAAGTCTTGCAAGAATTGATCAGTGGAAGGGCTATATTGGGTCAAATCACTCTCAATATCCGCGAGCACAAATGAGATCCATGGACAAATGAGATAAAAGCTTTGCAAGCAGAAGAGCATTGATAGAAGGAGTGCGCCAGGGGATGCTCTTCGCGCTCAGAGCACGGTTTTCTCCTCGCAGGCTTCAATTTTGCTCACACGAGCAGAGATATTCCGCGCGGAGTGATGTGAAAGCGCTTGCAAAACTAATATGCGTATGCTGTTTGAGTTTGACCCGCAGGACCTCTACACAATGAGGCATGGGTCTCATTTGTGCACGCAGATATTGACAGTGATTTGACCACATAGGGCGAGTAGTTATTGGCCTTTCAACATTAGACTTTGGCAGAATCTTGTAACTCTTGTCCTCTACTTGTTGTTGTTGCTTCTGGACATGTTTGATGTGGAATTTAGCTACAGCACCTCCATCAATGTAGCAATGTCATGTGTTTAGGCCATCTTTTTTTTATTTTTATGAAAACAATTGTGTAAGCATAGACTATGCTGCATTCTAAATACATTATTAGCATGCCCCACCCCTTCACCAGTAGTGGACTACTATTACTAATACCAAAATACTTTTCATCAAAGAGCTCATTCATCCATTTTACTTAAGACACTGCAGTGCTTGGGTTACCATATAATTAAATTTAAAGTCACCATGTGACATTGAGCCAAATTCAGCCACCAGTCATTGGTCCGTACCGCAACAACATCGTGATCCCTGGATGGAGCAGGTGACCATGATATCAAACACAACATATCATGCAACACTCACTCATGATTGGGCTCATCCTCTCCATGCAATCAAATTCATCCCCACTAAATCCATCCCAACAGTCGACCCCCGGCTGTGACAAAAATGATCATGCACACCATTATCTCTCTCTCTCTCTCTCTCTCTCTCTCTCTCTCTCTCTCTCTCTCTCGTTTTTCCTCGCCCCCTCTTTAGTATTTCACATGTTGTATCGGCATCCCAGCATCCTGTAATGTTGCTCCATCACTTAACTGTCACATTTAATCCACATGGTGCTGTATTTCGTCTCTGTATACACCTCGTTCACATGCAGTGTATCATAGCTTTGGGTGGTTTAGAAACCTGTGGTTCTCATTTTATTTCATCTGTGCTTTTTGGTTTTCTGTTCTTCTCTTTTAATGTAATTTGCATAACTTTGTTTTGTTTTTCAGTGATTGTGTTGAGGATGGCCATGGTCCCTGACTGTCTTGCTAATTGGACACTGTAGGTTTCTTAAACCACACTAAAACAGCACAGAATATATTTGACAATATATTTTGAATGCGTATGCCTTGATTAGAAAACACACCTACACCACATTCCTTAGATACAACTGATATAAATGCAAATATAACTACTGCTTTCACAATTTATATATAGATGTGTTTGCCAACAAGAATAAGCTCTTTTAGTCCATCATTTCAGAATGAATACAAAAGCAAACAAAAGTCAAGGGACATGTGCCCGCCTTCTATTTGTTTGTTTGTTTTTCTTTTGTTTGTGCAGTGTTTGATATGTGAATAGTGTGCTCATTTCTCTCTCATGTAGCCCACTGGTCAGACCTTCCAGTGCCGAAGCATACTCTGCTGTCTTTGTCATGACTATACATCAATAACACCATCATATGCACTCACACATAAATTCATGGATGCAACAACACTCAGAAAGTCAGATGCACATACCTTGACACACACACACACACACACACACAATGCCTGTCAAAGACAGCAGAGTTGGCTGGAGCAGACAATAAGTCTGGTTGGCAGGCTGCGTCTCATGGAGTGATGCTAACATTCTCTCCCATTGCTCTCTCTCTGCTCACCTTGCATGCTCCGCCCTGCTGCTCTGATCTGATTGGTCTAGAAGTGACTGTGCGCCCAGGAGGGCAGGACGACTGTGTAAGTGCGCATGGAGCTCATCTCATATCCGTCGGCTCCCTGTAGTCTGGTCATTTTTCCAGCCATGTGCGCTGCCTATACTTTTGTTTCATCACACTCTTTAGTCCACATCTAAACACATGCAGTAGAGGGATAACACCTGTGGCACACCTGTAAAAAAGACACTCACTAACATGCATGATTAAAGCAGACACCATTGCACCATCTCTTATCACATTTAGGCTTCTGCTTCTCCCTGCTTGCACCAAGCTAGACAAAATCCATCTAATCCATCCCTCTTCTCCTTTCTGACCATCTTTTCCTCCATTGGATCAGTAGCAAATGAATCAGCCACTTTTAAACTGTTTCACCAATTTATATTATTTCTTTTCAAAAGAGGGCCAAGTGTGAAAATGAAGATAAACCAGCATTTATTGTACTTGTGGAAGATACTGGAATAATTGTTGTTGCAGCATCAGATTCTTACTGGTTAAGAATTATTGCCAGATTTAGTTTGTACTAACACAAACTGCATTCTGGCAATAATTCCTAAAATCTTCCTCTTCATGCTGCAGATGGTAAGATTACGTTTGTTGGTCACTGAGACTTACTGCATTGTTAAATAAACCTTCATGTGGCCTTTGACAGATGTGATTAATGTCACCTGTTTTCTTTATACACTCTATCTCATAGAAGTCATTTAAAAAAGCATAATTACTGCTCTGTATGTCATTTTTCTTGAGAAGTAATGTGCAGCTGCCTGTGTTCAGAGGTGTGTGTCTGTAGAAAAAGTGTGTGTGTGTGTGTGTTTGTGTGTGTGTGTGTGTGTGTGTGTGTTGAATTCAGTGCTCGGTTACTGCAGTTTCAATGTCAGACAACAATTATATTTGATATTCTAATCTAGTTCTAAGATGTTTACTGTTTGTGGGTCCCAGTGATCACTTCAGGAAAGCGTATTGTATCACTATTCCATAACAGGAAGTCGATTTTGATTGAGTTCATTATGGGAAAAACACTTTCAGTAATGGTCAGATGGGTCTGTGAAAATATTGACATATTATTTTCAAATGCTGCCTTGTAATCCTTTGTATAAGTTCATGTATTACTTGAAATAGTGATGAGTCTTATGTTACGTATGCATGATTGAGTAGTACATCGATTTTTATCCAAAACTATAAATAATCTCAGATACTCCAGCCAATGAGTGCATCTTGCTGCTTTGATGTTGCTGTGTTTTGAGTATCGCGTGGTCTGCCTAACAGTCATTAACCTCAAGCCTACACTAACTTAACCTTTAGAGGAACTTACAGCGGTCAATACATATAACCCTAAGCTTGATCTCTTTTTCCTCTTCATTACTTTTACTTTGTTTTACCTTCACTTCCTCTGCTAACATTCCTGAA